CCCTCTAGAGGATTCGCGTACGGCCCCCTACTTAGGAGGGTTCATGAGCGGAAATGCGGAGAAGTCACTGTTTCGCACGGTTTCGCATCGTTTCGCACGTAGTCAGTCCATGCTTTTTGTCCCTCTTTTTCACCTCCGCGCCGCGCGCCACGACTTTGTGTCCGAAAAGGCCAGACCGAGCGATGAAATCGCAGGATTTCTGCTCCCCGTATCTCCCCATCTTTCCTTCGCCTTCGCCTTCGCCCACTTTCATCGTTCACTTCCATCAATTGCATGTCTTGGATGGAAGAGGAAAAACACACAAGCTTGGCCAGTGGTTTTTCTTTTGAAAACGGATGCAGGAACGATGAGACGATCATCTAACTGGTGTTGTCTACAACTCCATAGCACCTCAGATGTTCAAACACAAGACTCCACCTACCCTGCCACCCCCCCGGGCCCCACAAGCCGATCCGATGCAGAGGTGGGTGGCGACCGGTTGACCGGATGCCGCGCACCGGTGCGCAGGATTTTCCATCTTTGTGAGTCCAGTCGACGTGGTCAGCCCGTTGGCCATCGAAGCCCGAGCAGATCAGATCATCAGCATCAGTTGTGTGGCCGGATGTCGAAGCGCCGCTTGGAAGCCACACAGTGACGGTGGAACAGGACCCAGTTACGGTGAAACAGCAGTCGACACAGTGACGGTGGCCGTCTTGGCCCTTTTTGGCACCACGACGCACCGGAAAACAAAGGCGATCGTACCCAGACACTCCATTGGAGGGTCCATGGGACTAGCAATTATACATGCCATACATTGACCACGGGTCAAGTACCCCAATGTATGGTATAGATATATATATGTATGTTCTGTGCCAGTCATTGGTCGTGTCTGGAGTAGATTTGGGTGCCGATGTCTTTCTTCCATCAACAGCAGGGGACAAAGCCGAGACTCCAGGATCTACTGCACTTCATGTCCACGTTCCTCCATGTTTTTGGCTTTCACCATCCAAAACCATCCGGCTCAGGCTACGACCGTCCACCTCGCCAGTCACAGCTGCGACACCTCCTCGTCCACGCGAGCCTCGCGGTCGGCGCTGTTGCAGTCACCCCAACGGTTGGGACTCAGCACTGCTGAGTTGGTATGGATGCTGGGCACATAGGGGCCGCCCGAACTGGAACCGAGAGGATTCCGGTTAACTGTATGAAGGAACCAGGACTTCTCTAGGTCTGAGGTTTTAGTCTTTTGGAACCTCTGATGGACCAGCTATAGTGGTAACTGGATCCTCTGGAGGACAAGAAGAAGGTTGGGAAGTTCTTTGTTCCGACAGCGCACTTCAAGCTGATTCTTGATTGTTGTGGAGCCGACAACCTTGAAAAGTTATATTATATATATAAATTATAAACAAATATATATATATATACTGTATTTGTTCTTTTTGAGATGTCCAGTCCTGAATCATGCGAGACAACCAAACACAAGAGTAACATGTTTATCAGTCATTTCGGTGGTTTGGCTTGGATTTGGTTAGTATATTGTATCCAACAGTTTACAATCACGAGGATTTGCAGCTTCGTTATTTTTGGGGGGCTGGCAACAAACATGGAAACCAAAACACGTTGCCAGAGCCCCCAGTTTGGGGTGGTGAATGGACACGCTATGAATAGACACCCCATAGCCAGGGAGCTCTTGTGGATGATCCCACAGTTTTGGCCCACTTGAAAACCCAAGGACGGCTGCGCTGGATGCCACTGACTTTCAGCCCGGCAGCTCTTTGTTGCTTTGCGCTGACATGGATGGCAGTGGCGACACCTTCGCAGCAGGTGCGTAATTGGGTTGGCCTACTAGTTCCCTCGCATGAAAGCAGAGAGCTATGGATGGGATTGAAGGTTCCCAAATTCATTGGTGCACCCTATTCCAACCACGCCTGATTTCATGGGCTTTTTCTCCACGACCATCAATTTACAGTAATTACTAAGTACTATATAAAGATGTTCAACTACACCAGGTCCCTCCATTTTCCTGGTGAAGGCGAGTGCCGGGTGCCCCATCTTTTCTGGCCGTAACGTGCCACTTCATCGAGAGTCGTGTGCCCACCCCCGCCGCCTGGATGGACAACCGATGCACTGGACTTGGCTGCCCGAAGGCAGCCGGACGAAAGAAGCGTTTTTCGACCGAAGCTTCCTCGATCATCGGCTGGTGAAAGGAACAGATGGTCTCAGATGGTTCAACAGGGGCAGCAGATGTAGTGAAAGATGCTCCTCTCAGAGATGGTCCCTTTTTTTGCATCCGCGAATCACTTGATTCACGAAGGACGGACTTGGAAAAGAGCAGCGATTGCTTTGGAGCCGAAGACTCTGACTCTTCAGGAACTTCGGAAGCCACGGAAGCTGGGCTTCCGGTGGTCCGTTTTTTTCATTTTTTTTTGCTGGTCTGTGGAACTGACTTCCAACAACATCTTCAAAAACATCCAGAGGACACCTTGGTCCCTGATGAACCGCAAGGACCCAGCCAAACCGGACGGACACACACTGTCGTGTGAGATGCGCAGGCGACACCGGTGTGCGGATCTACGTGAAAGGCGCGGACTCGAAGACGCGGCTTCCACGAGTGACGTTTTTCTTGCCGGCAGCACGCTGAAATACAAAAAGGAATGCGTTGTAGTTATCGCTGCACGACGTTCGTGCACAGGGCTCTCTAAGTCTGACAGTTCAGATGCGTCCTAACTTCGGCGCTGTTTGTCTCCTTGGCCAAAACAGGTCCTGTCCTTGCCACCTAACCCTACACCACTTCAGACCACGCTCTTGCGCTGGGTCTGTCCGCCATGGGGCGACGATCTTGCGCAGGCTTTGGTTCGTAAGGAAATACGATGCATTGAATGAATGGCGTCCAACCTAGAAAGAGATGACCTCCAACCTAGAAGAGATGGCCTCCAACCTAGAAGAGATGACCTCCAACCTAGAAGAGATGGCCTGGGATGGCCTCCAACCTAGAAGAGATGGCCTCCAACCTAGAAGAGATGGCGTCCAATAACCTAGACGAGATGACCTGGGATGGCCTCCAACCTAGAAGAGATGACCTCCAACCTAGAAGAGATGGCCTGAGATGGCCTCCAACCTAGAAGAGATGGCGTCCAACCTAGAAGAGATGGCCTCCAATAACCTAGACGAGATGACCTGGGATGGCCTCCAACCTAGATGAGTCCTTGGTGAGTCCATGGGAGCCCCGGTCTCTTCTTCTCCAGCCTCCTGCTGCTCGCGGTAGGAGGACCCCTCTCGGACCCCGAGGACGCTGGTGATACAATTCTTATTTTCTTCCCTGTACTGTTACATCATCCCTAACCATGCATTGGGACTGGAATAGGACTGCCCATCAATTGGGGTGATTTTAAGGATGTAAGTGAATCTTCCCAAGGATTGCTTGGCCATACATTCCCATGATTTCAGCGGACACGTGGCCACCTTCTTCGGTGCCCGAAGGATTGACTGGTAGGTTGCTCGAAAGGTGGGAGTGCTTTCCTTCGACCTGCAACATGGTGAGGTTTTGCATGGTTGTTCACTTAGGAACAGAAAGGATCAGAACCTGTTTGCTCAGGGTTCTTGGACGAAAACACAGTGGCCTTGGACCCCAAACATGTAGCCTTTTTCTTTGGATCCATCCTTTGGACTGAAGAAAATACCGCAGGTTTGCGGAGAACTGGTGGAAAGCTGACGTTTCATCCATGCCAGGCTGGGCCAGCGCTAGCATGGCGATCCGCGCGGCCGATGCACAGCAGGCGGGGTTGCATGGAATGGACCATTTTCAGGTCGAAGTCACCTCTGAAAGGACAGACTTACAAGTCACCTGAAGCCAATGGGAGGATCTTTGGTGTGGTGTTGTCTTTTTCCTCTTCCTTGAGCTTGGCTCAGATCTTCGGAAGAAACATGAAGCACGATTCGGATGCGACTTGAAGATGCTCCCTAAAATTCCGGCATCGTCCTGCATGTACTTGCGATCTTTTTTCTGGAGGTATACCTATGGGAGTATACTAGTACCTATGGGGTTTCATTGGCCTTATGTCCGTTCTTTTTCAGCGCCTTTCAAGACAGAGGAGCAAACTTCGAAAAGGGAGGATCTGGCTGTGGAGGGTGAAATCCGCTTGGATGATTTTAACGGGTCCGAGTCACGTTTAGGGTTTTCCCAAATTCCTCTTACCACTGCGGAATTCACATGTGCTATTCATTCAGATTCAGATTCGACTGGATTGTCAGTTGGCTGGACACCCCGTTGTTTTTGGACCAAATTCGTGTACTAGTCCGTCTGAGAATCACAGGTCATCGTCCGTCTTCGTCACAGGTCTTAGTGAGTTGCCTTGATTGCTCCGCCGTCACGAAGATTGCCCGAGCCTATGTGGCCGAACATTGTGGCCGCGTGCAGGTCACGCGACACGTCGCGCGGTCGTTGGTGTTGTGGCTGACCGGGATACAACTCGGTCCTCGGTCATCCGTTTTGCAGGTCGGACACATGGCCTCTTCAACTTGGTCCTCCCAAAAGACCTGGTCTAGTGTAGCGCCATAGCGCTTTTTCAGGCTATAAGGGAAATAGACATACTAGTCTCAACCTCCTGAAATTGTAAGGGCTCCGCCCGGGTGCCGCCGACCCCTTTTCATCTCCGAGGGTTTGGCGGTTGAACCTTGACAACTTCCTGGGATTCAACAGCGAGACTTGGATGGGCTTCACACCAATGCTGGCATTCAAGCCACAGCGATGTACAATTCAGGTGGGTAGGAGCTCTGGACAAGCAGGAGAGGCCACGACAGGCCTGCCGGCTGCCGAGAGGCTTTTGAAGGCGGTCCAAAATGCGCAACGTCGCCGTCGGAAACCCATAAGAAGAGAGGAGGCAGGCTTCGGACAGGCCAC